GAGAGGCTGAGGAGGGCAGATCACTTGAGGTCAGGAGTTCGAGAACAGCCTGGCCAGCATGGTGAAACCTGGTCTCTACTAAAAACACAAAAATAATTAGCGTGGTTGGCACTCGCCTGTAATCCCAGCTACTGGGGAGGATGAGGCAGGAGAATTGCTTGAACCCAGCAGGCAGACATCGCAGTGAGCCAAGATTACACCACTGCACTCCAGCCTGGGTGACAGGGCGAGACTCCATCTCAGAAAAAAAAAATGTTTTGCACAGACAAGGTCTCAGTGTATCACTTAGACTGGAGTGCACCTTCAAACTCCCGGGCTCAAGCGATCTTTCCACCTCAGCCTCCACCAACAGCTGGGACTACAGGCTGGAGCCATGGCACCCAACTAGAAAATGAAAATCTTTAAAGCGAACATTGGGATGACCAGGCTTCTGCACCATACTAACAGTTTGTTTTGTTACACTGTTCATAGGATAATCTAAGCTCTCTACAGAGGCAAGAAACACGAGGGTTCCCTTTCATCTAGATACTTGCAGCATTTCCTACCATCCTTATTCAGGCACATACAGAATTTACACAGGGAAGAGTCAGTGGCAGTGGGGTGGCAGGACACTAGTACAACAGTATTTTTTATTTACATGACAATAGTTACCACACACACACACACACACACACACACACACACACACTCAGGAAGACCGACTAACTGGGCCCACTGAAACAATTTTCCCCACCCTCAATACGGAGTCCTTTGGGTTTCAAGAGAACAGGCCTTTTCTTCCATGGCTCTGGTTCTAGGTCCAGTATGAGAAGAGCCACACCGTAGAGGAGATAAGTGGGGGTGTGCCGTTTCAATTACTTGGGTGTGACCCTGAAGACTCGGATGTGGATGGCTGAGTTGTTGCGGATCCGAGTCAACGGCTCCCGTGTATCCGTCTCTGGCTCCAGCTCATCAACAAGCTCCACAGTGGAGGTATTGGCAGCCACCTGCAAGGACCCAAAGCTGCCCGCCTGCAGCTGCAGCGCGATGTTGATGGCTCGGTTGATGGCCAAGCCCAAGCCGTGAATGTAGATCTCAGAGCACGCGTTCTGACCCCTGGCCCCTCCGTCCAGCAGCTTCTGGCAGCGGGCCAGTTGCGCCTTAAAGTCAGTCTTCATGTTGACATAAATGTCATTGGGCCGCCGAGGCAAGCGGTTGGGAAGCCTTTTCCTAAGGGTGTACTCCACCGGATCCAGTTCGGCCTCCACGGCACCGCGGAGCTCTCGGTTTTCTGCCATGCTGTATGCCCTGGCGTGGGAAAGGGATGCGATCAGAGGGATCACCGTGATCTCGAAGCCTTTCCTACCCTTTTCCTGTACAAAGGTTACACCTGGCCTGGGAGTGGCTCAAGCCTGTAACCTCAGCACTTTGGGAGGCCGAGGCGGGAGGATCGCTGGACCCCGGGTGTTTGAGACCAGCCTGGGCAACATAGTAAGCCCCCGTCTTAAGATACTTTTTAAAAACTAGCCGGGCCTGGTGGTGCCCGCCTGTAATCCCAGCTAGTTGGGAGGCTAAGGTGGAGGATCGCTTGAGCCCGGGAGTTCGAGGCTGCAGTGGGCCGTGATCGCGCCATTGCACTCTATTTAGCCTGGGAGACTGAGCAAGACGCTGTTTCAAAAACAAAAACAAAAAACAAAAAGCCCAAAGGGTGCACCGGAGAGAGGACTTACATGTTTCCTTCCGGCCCCTCGTCCCCTCCCACTCACCTCCAGCTCCCGCGTCTCCCCGCCCCGCGTTCCAATTGATTCACCGCGTCGCCCCCAACCTCGCGCCCCTCCGCCGGCCCTCCCGTGCCTACTGTCTGCTCCACAGGGCCCTCCAGGCGCACCAGGCCCGCTCCACGCCAGGTCACTCAAGTGTTCGCCGGCCAGCCAAAGTAACCGCGACCCCAGGTCCCGGGAAGGGAAGAGAAGGAAAGAGGGCGAGACCCGCTGGTTGGCTCCTGGGCGCCCTGCGGCGCCGGGGTCCTGAACGGGCTGACGAGTGCGCACGCGCGCCCGTACCCCGCGAGCCGCGAATCGCCTTCCCGGCTTCCGTTCGCCCCCGCTTCCCTGAGTGCAAGTGCGACTGCGCGAGGCGTTTGAGTAACGCGAGACTTCCGGGCGTGACGGGATCTACCACGTGTACGCCTCGGGGACTGGCGGGCGGCTGAGGGCGGGGACCAGGTTGGAGCAGGGGAGGAGCTAGAAGGGGTAGGGTCGGCCTCCCTAGGCCTGGCGGAGTCCCTGGCCCGCGGAGGGGTCCCCGAAGGGGAGACACTTGGAGGGGAGGCTGCTCTAGGGACGAGGGTCTTCCCCATGGGAGCAGGGAGGGGGTCGAGCTCAGGAGACCGTAGTCGCCAAGGGGCCTGAACCCCAGCGTGGATTCCGCGTCCGTCGCAGCTATTCTGGTCAGAAGAGGCCTGGGCAGGGCTGGCAGAGCTAACCCCCAGTCTAAGGTCCCCGTGGCCCGAGGACCGGAGGGGGAACTGAGGGACATGGCCGGTCTCCACCTCGCTTGAGGACAGCGTCCCAGGACTCCCCTGCAGTTCACGGGAAGCTGTTCGCCTCCTCTGTCTCTGCTGGGGACCCACGCTGTGAGGTCTAAGCCCAGGCTTCACGGGTCGCCAAAGAACGCTGACGCTCCCACGCCCTTCAACCACCTCCCACCAGCTCTGCGGCCCACGACCGGGGAGCAGGGGTTTGGCGCCCCCTGGCGGGCAAGGTGGGGAGGACGCGCGCCGGATTCGTGGCTCTCCAGACCAGTGGAGAGGGGGCTCTGCCCAGACTGGCACAGTTTCGGCAGAGTTCCCTTCTGAAATGAGTAGATCCTGCTGCATTGGGGACCTTGAACTACCCTGTTTGTTTCCCCGTAATTCAAATAGGTATGGTCACAAGCTCCTCCACCTTATTGCACATGCATTTTATTGAATGGCTAGTTGTATAGCCTCTGACTATAAACTTACAATTTATTTATTTATTTTTGAGACAGGGTCTCACTCGATCGCCCAGGCTGGACTGCAGTGGCGTGATCTCAGCTCACTGCAACCTCTGCATACTAGATTCAAGCGATTCTTGTGCCTCAGCCTCCTGAGTAGCTGGGACTACAGGTGCACGCCACTGCACCTGGCCAATTTATTTCATTTTTTTGAGACAGGTTCTTACTCTGTTGCCCATCCTGGAGTGCAGTGGCATGAATGCGGCCCACTGAAGCCCTGAACTCCTGGGGTCAAGAGATCATCCTGTGTCAGCTTCCTGTGTAGCTGGGACCACAGGTGTGCGCCGCAATGCACGGCTGATTTTTAAAATTTTTTTTGTAGAGGAAGAGTCTCACTTTGTGGCTCAGTCTGGTTTAGAACTCCTGGGTTTGAGAGATCCTCCCACTTTAGCTTCTCCAAGTGCTGAGATTACAGGTGTAAGCCACAGTGCTCAGCAACTTTTTATTTATTTATTTATTTTTTTAAAGACAGGGTCTCAGTCTGTCAGTCTGTTGCCCAGGCTGGATTGCAGTGGTATGATCACAGCTCACTGCAACCTCTGCCTACCAGGTTCAAGCAATTCTTGTGCCTCAGCCTCCTGAGTAGCTGGGCTTACAGGCACTCACCACTGTGCCTGGCCAGTTTATTTCATTTTTTTGAGTCAGGGTTTTACTCTGTCACCCAGGCTGGAGTGCAGTGGCGTGAACACGGCTCACTGCAGCCCTGAACTCCTGGGGTCAAGCCATCATCCTGTGTCAGCTTCCTGTGTAGTTGAGACCACAGGTGTGCGCTGTAATGCACAGCTAATTTTTTTTTAATTTTTTTAATTTTTTTTTGGTAGAGATGGAGTCTCCCTTTGTGGCCCAGGTTGGTTACAAACTCCTGGGGTCAAGCAATCCTCCCACCTTGGCCTCCCAAAGTGCTGGGAGTACAGGTGCGAGCCACTGTGCTCAACCTAAACTTGTTTTTTTTTTTTTTTTTTTTTTAGACAAGGTCTCAGTCTGTTGCCCAGTCTGGAGTGCAGTGGTGTGATCACAGCTCATTGCAGCCTCAACCTCCTGGGCTCAAGTGATCCTCCTGTCCCAGCATCCTGAATAGCTAGGACTAAAGGCATGCACCAGCATGTAATAAATTGTGTTTTAGAAGTTAATCCTTGGTATTGAAATTTTCGAAATGCCCACATAATTGTTGGGACTGATTCATTCCTCTACACATGATGTGCCTCCTTTCTCCCGTACCCTGTTAATGATAGCAGTTGTGGGCATTTGCTATAACAGGATACATAGATGGCTCCACACTTGACCTTGGGTGCTGGAATGCTCTCAAGTCAAGCATACGGCCCAGTGCTTGAGACTGGGGGCATCATCTGTAGTGTCCTTTCCCCTGATTCCTGTCTCCTTGATCCTGGGGAGGTCTGGCTCTAATTGCTAGTTTCCAGAGATTCATTCATTCTTTTCTTTCTTCTTTTTTTTTTTTTTTTTTTTTTGCGACAGAGTCTCACTCCGTCACCCAGGCTGGAGTGCAGAGGCATGATCTCAGTTCACTGCAACCTCCACCTCTCAGGTTAAAGTGATTCTCCTGCCTCAGCTTTCTAAGTAGCTGGGGCTACAGGCATATACCCACCACACCTGGCTAATTTTTATATTTTTAATAGAGACAGGGTTTCACCATGTTGGCCAGGCTGGTCCCAAACTCCTGATCTCAAGTGATCTGCCCGCCTTGGCCTCCCAAAGTGCTGGGATGACAGACGTGAGCCATCGTGCCCAAAGCCTCATTTTTAAGCCTTGGATCACAGGAAGAAGCAACAAGAAACTGTACCCAACTCAAAACTTTGTAGGAGAATCATAAAATTGGTCCATTTGGAGGGTAGAGTTGGGTTCATCAGGTTGTTGTTGCAAGAGGTGGCATATTCAATGATCAGTTATATAAAACAATATGTACTCATTGTAAGTATACTTTTCATAATCTGTTTTATCATACACGTAACATTCAAATGGACAAGTATAGCTTTGCACAGTAGCAGTATTGTAGCCAGTGCAGTTTGTGTGAGGCATGATTATTGCTAATTGAAAACTTTTCCCAATACCCTGCCGTGACGACTTGCAACATAGTCGACATTGGCAATTTTTGACAGTCTATGGAGACTGGAAAAAAAAAAAGACAAATATACTAACTTGTGAATAAAGGATATCAAAACACTGGTTTTAAAAAAAAATGGGGATGCTGGCTGGGCGTGGTGGCGCATGCCTGTAATCCCAGCACTTTGGGAAGCTGAGGTGGGTGGATCCCCTGAGGTAAGGAGTTTCAGACCGGTCTGACCAACATGGTGAAACCCTGTCTCTACTAAATACAAAAAATTACCTGGGCATGGTGGCGCATGCCTGTAATCTCAGCTACTTGGGAGGCTGAGGCAGGAAAATTGCTTGAACCTGGTAGGCAGAAGTTGCAATGAGCTAATGAGCTGAGATAGCACCATTGCGCTCCAGCCTGGGCAACAAGAGTAAAACTACATCTCAAAAAAAAGAAGAAGGCTGGGCTCCATGGTTCACACCTGAAATCCCAGCACTCTGGGAGGCTGAGATGGAAGGGGCGGATCACTTGAGGTCAGGAGTTCGAGATCAGCCTGACCAACATGGAGAAACCCCATCTCTACTAATACAAAAATTAGCCGGGCCTGGTGGTACATGCCTGTAACCCCAGCTACTGGGGAGGCTGAGGCACAAGAATCGCTTGAACCTGGGAGGCAGAGGTTGCAGTGAGCAGAGATCGAGCCATTGCACTCCAGCCTGGGCAACAAGAGGGAAACTTCATCTCAAAAAAAAAAAAAGGGCAGGGGATGCTAATTCCTGTCTTGTAGTTGAGTTGTGAAACCCAAGGTAATCTTGTAAACTGTAAACCTACACAGATGAGTTGGCATATTTATGTCTCCTAGATGCTTCTCACTTGCCTAGGATGGAGTCTGACCCCATTTGATCAAAGGTTGAAGAGAGTTCAGATTCCAGAGAAATTTGCTCCCAGCACCATTTCAATCCTGTAGTTCTTTCCTTTACTTCAGATTATTTCATTAACCACAAGATTGGGGTTGAATTGGAAGGTCCAACATATTATAGTAAAGATACCAATTCTCTTCAAATTAATCTATAGGGGCCTGGTGAGGTGGCTCACACCTTTAATCCCAGCACTTTCGGAGGCCATGGTGGGTGGATCACTTGAGGTCAGGAATTCAAGATCAGCTTGGCCAACGTGGTAAAAACTCGTCTCTGCTAAAAATACAGAATTAGCTGGGTGTGGTGGCAGGGGCCTGGTGGTAATCCCAGCTACTGAGGAGGCTGAGGCAGGAGAACAGCTGGAACCCAGGTTGCAGTGAGCTGAGATCATGCCACTGCACTCCAGCCTGGGCAACAGAGAGAACTCCAGCTCACACAACAACAAAAACCCAAATTGATATATAAGCATAATGCAATTCCCACAAAAATTCCAGCAATAATTTTTTGTATTAAATATAGATGTTTATTCTAAAATATATATGGAAAGACAAAAGAAGTAGAATGGTTAAAACCACTTTTAAAAAGTTGCTGGAATCGCATTACCTAATTTTAAGACTTACTATATAAATACAGTTATCAAGAAAGTATGGTCTCCCCAGTGGGATAGACACAAAAGTCAATAGAATGGAATTGAGAGCTCAGAAATAGACTCGTGTACATAAGTACAGCCAACTCTCTCTCTTTTTAAAAAAAATTTGTTGTTGTTTGTAAGACAGAGTCTCACTCTCACCCAGGCTGGAGTGCAGTGGTACAATCTTGGCTTACTGCAGCCTCAATCTCCCTGGCTCAAGTCATCCTCCCACCTCAGCCTCCCAAGTAGCTGGAACTGTCAGCACATGCCAAGATGCCCAGCTAATTTTATTTATTTATTTAGGCCTGTCTCCAGGCGCCAGGCTGGAGTGCAGTGGCACGATCTCAGCTCACTGCAACCTCCGCCTCCTGGGTTCAAACAATTCTCTTGCCTCAGCCTCCTGAGTACCTGGGACTACAGGTGTGTGCCACCATGCCCAGCTAATTTTTGTATTTATTAGTAGAGACAGGGTTTCACCATGTTAGCCAGGATGATCTTGATCTCGTGACCTTGTGATCCACCCGCCTCAGCCTCCCAAAGTGCTGAGATTACAGGCCTTGTTTATTTTTTGTAGAGACCAGGTGGTCTTGAACTCCTGGACTCAAGCAATCCTCCTGCCTTAGTCCCTTCAAAGTGCTGAGATTACAAGTGTGAGCCACTACCATCCAACTCACTTTTGACAAAGGTACAAAAGCAATTCAATGGGGAAAGCACGATCTTTTCAAGTGGTGCTGAAACAATTGGACAAACACACAAATAAATGAGCCTCAGTCCTATACAAAAAGTTAATACAAAATGGATAGTAGATCTAGGAAGAAACATCTATGATGTAGGGTCAGGCGAAGAGTTCTTAGACGTGACTTCAAAGGCACAATCCATAAAAGACAATTGATAAACCGGACTTCATCACAATTTTAAACATTTGCTGTGTGAAAGGCCACATTAATAAGATGAAAAGAGAAGCCACAGGCTGGGAGAAAATATGTGCAAATCATATATCCAACAGAGGACTTGTATCCAGCATATATAAAGCAGTCTCTAAGCTCAAGAGGTAGAAACCAAACAACCCAATTAGAAAATGAGCAAATCCAGCCTGGGCAGTATAGTGAGATCCTGTCTCTACGAAAAATTTAAAAATTAGCCAGGCATGGTGGTGTTCGCCTATAGTCCCAGCTACTGAGGAGGCTGGGGCAGGAGGATTGCTTGAGCCCAGGAGGATGACTGCAGTGAGCTGTGATCATACCACTGCACTCCAGCCTGGGTGACGAAGTAAGACAGAAAGGAAAGAAAAGAAGAGAGGAGGCCGGGCGCGGTGGCTCAAGCATGTAATCCCAGCACTGTGGGAGGCCGAGGCGGGTGGATCACGAGGTCAAGAGATCGAGACCATCCTGGTCAACATGGTGAAACCCCGTCTCTACTAAAACCACAAAAA